ATTACTAACATCATAAAAAATAACTTTTGTTCCATGACTTTCAAATATTCATCAGATTTTACTTTCGTACAAAAATAAATAGATTTAAATCGATCGCTCTAAACACAGGAGTGGGAATCGTCGCAGAGGACGCTTGCACGTTTGAACATATTCTACCAAATCGATGCCTCACTTTCTCAAACACGTATCTTATAAAGAGTGATTATTCAGGAGATGCCAAAAATTTCTACTTATTTTAAATTTATTTCTTATCAAGGGTGTTAATTTGGACGTTTCTCTCGCGCAAATCGCGCCCCGGCTTGCTAGTCCTACTGATAGTATATGAAAAACTTAAGTTTATTTTTTATCAATGTATTATGTTTTGTAAAAAGTCATGAAACTAAAGTTGTTGTTTATGATGTTAGTAATATAGTCCAGCGACGATTGTAGTATTTTAAACGTATTGGCAACGCGGTTCAACGACGGTACAATTATCTTAACTTGGCTTATCTTTTCAACTAACTTAGATTCAATTCAATTCAAATACGTAGTTCAATGCAAAGTCACATGATAATGGGGTATTAACAATATTTTTAATTTTCATAACATTATAAGATAATTATGAGTATGGAAAATAATGATAACAAAAACGCTCTTTATTATCTAATGAATAATTTGATAAAGAGAAATTTATTTATATCTATTCGTCAATAAATCCGTGAACAATTTTTTACTATTGTACAGAACTAGATTTATTATAATAGTCACTATAAGCAAGCTGATCCGTTTTGGCTAACTTAGTTCAATAAAATAATAATAATATATTAGTTAATAATATATTTATATTAATAATACATAATTATGTTCAGAAAACAATTTGTTTTCTTTTCAAACTTTTTTTATGGTGGCGGCAGAAATAGTTAAAGTCACCAGGCCTTCAACCTATGAAACTAGTATTCAATAAAAACAAATCAAGTGTTGGTGTTTTCAAAAAAATGGTTTTATTCAATGACTTGTATATAATGTTATGAATATAATCAAAATGTGTTTCGAGCGCGTGCGTGCGTGCGTGCGTGCGTGCGTGCGTGCGTGCGTGCGTGTGTGTGTGTGCAATAGCAAAATATTGTTCTAAGAGAAGAACAATTGAATGCTTCTTTTCGCCTCGTCATGATAGGGTAAAAAAATTCCCACTTCGTCCCTGTCTAATATCAGTTAGTTGTCTTTCGAGTGCCGTGTCGTGTTGCTGTCATTGAACGGTAATTATTCACGAGGCCTTCGAAAAAAGCCGAAAGCGCGAACGTGCCGTACCGCCCTATTGCATTCGAAAGGTACTATAATAATCAGATGACCGGTCAGTTACACAACAGAATTTTCTGCCTTTGTCCATACTAATCATAACCTTAGCACGTTTTGAGTATGAATAATAAGAAAAAAGATTTTACAAAATACAAATCCGTCTAATCATTTATTTTCATTGTTTGTGAAAGGACACTCACTGGTAAGTAACAATTCTTTCAAATAAAAACAGTATAGTGAACACAATTTTATTTTTACGACGTCATTGTACATTGCTGTCGTAGGTTTATATGTTATAATGAAGGTAACGTTTATCAGGTGTTGATTGAATATCGTATGTAATTCACCCGAAACTTTACACGAAAAAGGCTTTTTGAAATGAAATTCCAATTATGAAGTACAAATATCTATACTATTGACAAAAACGTGCTTGATCCCTAGACACTTCTGATGTGTAGATAATCAAATCGCATTGATAAAAATTAAATATGATTCTAAATCCATACTTCTGTAACAGATTGTAATCGTACTTATGTACACAACGTTTTAAAGTAACAAGAACGATCTACTGTTCAAAATTTGTTGATAATTTACAATCTACTTAATAATAAACCGACAAGGGATTTGTTGAATAATACTCGTATATGTAAGTGTAAGTTGAATTGCCACTCCTTTAAACATCATGGACCTTAAACAAATGAATAAATGTTATACAACTCAGCGCAGCTCCGATCCTAGAGAAATAAATTTAAAAAAAAGTGTGTTATGGAAATCGGAAACAACGACTGTACCACAAACATCCAGATCCGAGACAATATAGAAACGTCAGTTTTTCTAAATTTTTTTATGAGACCAAGTGATGAACAAGTCGGTGGTAACCGACACGCCTGTCCATAGCAGTTGCAGTGTCACTCAGAGCTTTAAATCGCTGAAGGGCACTATCACTGCGCCCATCACCCTGAGGCATAAGCTGAAAAGTCCCATGTGCCTGTAATGTTACCAGATAATTCATTAATTGTAATTTCATCATAATTTCACTTCTTTTTATCGTATCTATGGCATGCACTATAATGATTGCCATCGTGGTGAATGGATTAGCCAATCAGCGTAAGGTACTTATAGATTGTTGCCCATAATGCGCCAGACGTAAAGGAATGAATGACGAAAGTTCCTTTCGTGCTCCATTATTTCACATTGACCCGGCCAGAATTGAACCCGGGACCTCAGGGAAGGCGACACCATGAGAACCGGTATGCAGGCCACTCGACCAAGAGGGTCGTCAAATGAGATCTTGAATCAAAAATATTCGAACCGGTATTTTTCATGGATATCTTGTTGTAAATTGGACACATTCTTATCGGGGTTATAAAAAGAGTGTTATTTTTATACGTCCGCAAGTAAAATATATCGTTAGGTATTCAGGGGTTGCGCTATACTTAAATAGGTAAGGAGAATCTTGTAGGCGTAAGATCCACTTTCATTAAAAGGCTATTCTGAATCGGTGTTCCATTTCCAAGATCATAACAACCATTGCAAACCATAAATGGAAAATTTCGCGGCTACATATACAAATATAAATTATATTTATGCCTCATTAGATTATTATATTTTTTGATAACCACTAACCACATTTTTTCATTTGGTGTTGTATATTTGGATCGGTTAAATAAGACCGACTGCAGTGTTTTTTGATAATGGAAAGCAGATTTGGGGAATTTGCTCAGTCTATTTGTGCAAAAATGGGTTGTAAAATTCAAACGTACACAAAAGATCATCCAAAATGATCCTTTCTCGTGCGAGGTCACGAGATACGTTAAAAGATAAAAATGTTTTGTTATGTTTTGTACGTATTTTGTTTTCTTGACTAGGCCGCGCACTTTCGATCGACTCTCGTAGCTAATAATGTAAATTAATTCATCACAATTAACTGGTGTCGGTGAGTCATTACATTTCAATATTTAATGTCATAAACATGTTGATCAATATAATTACTAAATGCTATTACGTATAATTATTGCGAAATAGCACAGTTTAAATTTTTAGTAAAGCAATGCCAATTAGGCATAATACATTTCTTTAGTCAGCATTTTAATTGGCACGAATCCTATAATTAGTTTCTTGATTATTCATCAATAGGGGGACCTGAAAATGTCGTCATAGTAGTTCTGAATCAACAGGAAAATTACGTCAATTGAAAACAAGATACGCTCCTGACTAAACCTACATAATTTAGTTCAAGTGTGAATGTAGCTGTTTATAAATGTACCTAAATAGAATTCATAGGCTTACTCAATAACGTATACGTTCCCATTCATTATAATATCATGCCTATTGTTCATTCTGAAGTACTTATATAACACAATAATCGTACATCAATGTGATTTTCTGTTTGTTTGAAATACATTTGTAGAAAATATTAATGACGACATAATATGCAATAATTTGTTTTCACTCGTAAGAGCCGTTAACCATTAATGAGCAGTGAAACGCGAGCCGGTAAGCAGTTTTTGTACTGCATAATGATATCGTAAACCAGTGTTAATAAGCTCTCATTACACGTATAACAACTAATATTAACAATATAAATTTCAATATATTTAATGGATTAACATGTCACCTACTTGTGCATTTGCTGCTTGCTTTATAACCTACTTGTGTAGGAGTAGGTGGCTAATGACAGTACCACGTTAATTATAAATAGGAACTGAACTGTACGTATAATGGACAATAAGCAATGTTATTCTTAAAAGTCATCGAATTCGCAGAAATTTGATTGAATGTTTAGGTTCGGAATGTAATTAACCGCCTTTCCACGGACGGCCTCAGGTGCGGAACAACACAGTTGATTAGCTTCCTTTGTTTATTCAACAATCATTGACACAATTTGAGGCACAGTGTGCATGCTTCCGGCCAATATCCGTATCCCATTATTTACGAGCGGCGATCGGACGCACACTCCAAAACACACAAAAATGAGAGACGCAAGCCATTCGTCACGGGCGCACAATGCCCGATTGTTTCAGGCACTGCTGGCTCTTAATACACGATTTCGCTGTACCAGAAAACAAATTTCTTTGTAAACCATTTTGACGAAAAGGTTGAGCTGTAGGGCGCGCCAAATTGCCTGACAAAACGGTTGCGGGATTGGATTCAGTGCCCGAATTTAATTGAAAATAGTTCGTGTTTAACGTGTTAATGAACCATGACTCTGGCGCAGGCCATGCCCGACTGTATTGCTCGCCGCACGTTTTTTCTTCCACGATCTTAACTACCAAGTTTTTTATTTACTATTTATTCGATATTTTAAGTCACATAATTTGCCATAGCTCGAAGACGACGAATTGAGTTTCACGTTCTCATTAATCGCTTGAGTAGTTGTGCTAATTTTTTCGAGAAATATTACAGGCGTTAAATTTCATGGTAGTGGATTTAATGCTGTAACATAAAACGGCCTCTATGAATTGTCGTACCGCACTGTTCTGAGTCAATTACTGTAACATAACGTCGTTAAATGGGCTAAAAACAGAAAACCAATTTTCATTCACCACTTCCTTGTGTTGACAGTAAAAATAAGATTTAAAAACTTAATTCAGAATCAAAGGAATGTATTTGTGTAGATAGATATAATCTTGAATTCATTCATGGATTGCGATAGCCCCAATAGGATTTGTTTTCTTTATTACTAAAATAATAAAAGCGTAGTAACGATGAGTTGTTTGTTATAGTGCGAGAGGCGAACGCCGCAAAGCGCCAGCGGCGGCAGCCCGACGCCGACGCGCGCGCATATGCTGGCGATGGACGTGACAAAAGAAGCGCGGGCGTCGCCGTTGCCTGCTTCGGCGCAGCAGACAGCGCCACAGGCCGCGCAGCAGCCACCACAGCCGCAGGTACTTAAGCTATTCTTATTTCACGTAGATACCGAGTGGTTCTTATACACATCTTTTTCCACTAAACGTGCTATTGGCAGTTATGAAATACATATGACAAAGTAATTGAATGATAAATTATTGAGTAGTTTCCAATAAGATCATATATCCGCATAATAAAAGTACCAATGGTCTTTCCTTACTAGATCTGCGCGGGATGCAGTAAGGTTATCACAGAGCGGTACCTGCTGAAGGCTCTGGACCAGCTGTGGCACGAGGACTGCCTCAAATGCGGTTGCTGTGACTGCCGCCTTGGCGAGGTTGGCCATACACTTTACACACGCGCTAACCTGATATTATGCAAGAGAGACTATTTAAGGTAATATGTTTGTTTATGCACCGTATATTTTGGTTTCTAAATAAGTGTGAACTGTTCAATCTGTTCAATATGGAGATAACTAAGACGAAACCTACCGCTTTCTTTATAATTATACATCACCTATTGTTAGGAAGAATCCTCTAAGCACTCTTATTTACAAATAACTACTTGTACTAAATCAATATTGCCGACTGTTACAAATTAGATTTGACACAAAAGTGGATACGATTAGAAAATTATCTAGTATTATTTTTGTGTCGATATTTTTGTAATGTATGTATTTATTTCAAAGGTTATTTGGCAACACCGGGTACTGCGCAGCGTGCAACAAGGTGATCCCCGCATTTGAGATGGTGATGCGTGCACGCAGCAATGTGTATCACCTTGAGTGCTTCGCTTGTCAACAGTGCAATCATAGGTTAGTGCTATGTCGTATATTGAAATAGACAATTGCTATATTTAGATTTCTCTAAGGACCTGTAATTGTAATAATACAACTTCGAGGTTTGATGTCAAGCAAGTGTTGCCTTTTAACCGACTCAAAAAAGGAGGAGGTTCCCAATTCGATTGTATGTTTTTTTATATATGTATGTTACGCGATATGAACCGATTTTGATGTTTTATGTTAGAAAGAAGGTACCTCAGTAGTGGTCCCATTTAAATTTCAAGAAAATATTCCACCTTTAAGGGTGGCAAACTAGGGGATGAATGACTTGAGAGATCGGTTTGTGTAGTACACTGTACTGTTTCTTTTATCTACTTATGAGCAATGCTTTTTCTTAAGCTTTATACGACCTTCGATTCCTGTACCACATTCTCCTTCTCCCTTCAATCTTATAATATTATTTTGACGGCCTCTGTGGTCGAGTGGCTTGCACACCAGTTTTCATGGCGTCGCCATCTCTGAAGTCCCGGGTTCGAACCCCGGCCGGGTCAGTGAAGAAACTAACTTTTCTATATTGTCTCGGGTCTGGGTGTTTGTGGTCCTGTCGTTGTTTCCAATTTCTATTATATAGTAATATTTAAAAATATTTATTTATTATGTATTTATAAATAGTATTTATTATTTATTTATTTATTATTATTATATTATTTATCATAGGGAAATGAATGGGTTCAGTGAATGAATAAATGAAAGGAATATGATATTCACTAAGTATGTCTATTTCTTTTTCCATTTTGTTTCCATTACTAGATATTCTCGTGTCTACTATCGTGTCAGTTTACAACAAATCCGTGTATTACAACATCTACGTACTTACGTGATTTCAGCACCACATTCATTGTTCACTAAACTCTCTACCTGTCAGTGGCCATGCCGCTGAAAATTGAGAGGGGACTGGGATATTGAATACACGTCCGACTTGGGACTTTTCTTTTACAACAGAGAAAAACATACAAAACTACTAAAGTGCAAAAGAGACGGCAACAAACATGTGGCGAGAACTTTAGATGGTTTATTCATCTCACGGACGACAAACAAAGAGCGCGATTAAATTTTCCGCTACATAATAAAGCTACATGCACGAAGGGAAACGTATTACATTAATGTTTTAGCTATTTAACTGTTAAGACTACTTTGGAAATCGGTGATAAAGAATCCAATTTAAACTTTGAGCGCAACAGAATTAAATTCAAAATTTTAAGATTTACGAACAGTGAATCATGAATTTTAATCTCCAAAGTAGAGTCTTACTAAAGGTTGTTCCGGAAAATATAGACATAGCCTCATATCCAACTGGAATATAAACGATTAGGGAATTATAAATGTCATGCATTCGGGCAGTAAGTAATCGTTTATGCAGCGAGTATGAGGTTCGGAGGAGTGCGCAAACAGCGGCTAAACGACGCTTGATTTCCCTGGCGCGCACTCGGCCCCTATTTATGCAGCCGTTGAACGCGGCTCAAGCGTTATTGAATCATTCATTATTGCAAATGCACAGACGTATCTGTAAACTCCATGTAAGTGTATTTTTTGCCGATACGGTCACTCACACTATGTCGAATTATGTAGAGCATATAGACCTTAACACGTTGGACTTTCGACTGCTCTTATTGCAAGCGTCTTAGAGTTGAGTTTAACTGTCAAGCTTGACGACTTAAGTATGACTTAACCCTACCTTTTTTCTTTAGGACTGATGAAGGTTTTTGTAAAACGATGTGAAAATATCGAAATTGTATTTGTTAGTTTTATTTTAGTACTATAAAATATTTCCATTTTTATTGCAACTCTTACGAATTGAATTTAAACATGATCTTATTGAGTGCTTCACGTTATATTTAAAGTAACGAATTCACGTTTTGAAACTCTATGAGATATGATAATTTAGATTTTGCCTGAAAATTCCACAAGTTACGTTTTAAATTTCCTTTTCGGGGTGCAAGCGCGAAAGAGCAATCTTCACTGGACTGCGTCCGTTTAAATAATAGAGAGGTCGCGAAGATTGGAGCCACTCCGAATGGTTTATATGTCACTCGTGGACCTTTCCCGAGTTAGTTAGATCTCGCGCGACATTTTCTGCGGATTACGTATTCATTTGACTGCTTTTTGAACTCAGATTCAACAGTTGGATAGCCTGTTTTAGAATATGTAGTTAAATGCCAGATTCACATCTCACTTGGAATTTCATGTACGCTTTTGAGAATAAGGTCATAAGACAGAAATACTTATCATAATTTACATTTTCCAAACCCTACATGTTATACTTTTAAAACGAATATTCGTTCATATTAAATTTCTCAATTAAAGTTCAAAGTAATTATTTTGGCCTTTTAAATATCTCCAATAGGTGTAGATTAAAATTGAATTGTATGATATTTAACCTGAGACATTATGGTGTATCTTAATATTTGGCGAACAAAGTGTGCTGAAATGACAGAGTAAAAGATTAGACTGTCAACGCGGTACCTAGTGTTACATTTTCGCTCGTTTTCTCGGTTACACTCTTTCAGAGGAAGCTTTCGGTTTGCTTCGTCTAAATGTTGGAATGACATTCCACCCCCAATAAAACTTAGTCATTGCACACTTTCAAAAGAAAGTGTAAGCAATGGCTACTTAACGTACAGAAAATACAATAGTTTATTTTTATTGTTTTAAGTTTCTTCTTAGTTTATTTGGCACCTAAGTAAGAATAAATAAATGTATGTAGGTAAGAAACTGAAACTTGTTCCAGTGCCGTTTGTGCCTGTTATTTAATGTTCTTTTACTTACATTATACCGACTGTTTTTTTTTACATGGGACTGCATGCGTAAATCCGAAACCAAAGAAGATACAAGGAAACTGTCTTAAGAACCATCAAATATTTTGTTGTGAAAACAATTTTTACATAGTCAATTTTTTGGTCAAGCGTGAATTGTCCATAAAAATGAATAAAATTAATCAAAATTTTTTTAGTGTTAATCGACTCAATTTCATGAAGGAATCATTTCATTGTACGGGACGAAAAAATCGGGACAGCCGATCCTGGTTAAATTTCTTAAAATATTTTTCGTACGAAATGAATAAAATTAACAATTTTTTTTTAATGCTAATAGTCTCAGTTTCTTATAAGTATGATTTTATTGTATGGGAAGAAAAAAATCCGGACAGTGATCAAATGTAATAAAAAAATGTTCATACAAAATGTCCTTGTATGAAGGTGAAACCTGAAAAGCAGCATGTAGTGCTGAGGCTCCACACTTTTCATTAGCACTAGATTTCACTACATTTCCTGTACAAAACTAAACTGTATCTTTATTAAACTTTTTTATTGTAAATGCATTGTTATTATTATTAATATTAAATTCAGTGATCTTCTTTACAATCGGATGTTAGTTTCAATTTATATTGCTACCAGCAGTTACCAGGTGCCTATTTCCTGACACGAAAATTTACGTGCGTGTTTACTAAACAATGTGGAGCGCAAACTATTAAATATCAGGTACCAATCAATTTCCACGGTAACAGATTTCTGTTCAGATTTCTGAATCCAATTTGCGTGCTGTCCGATCGGGCGGACGTCGGGCGGTAGCGGTACGGCCAGCGAATATCACTAAACGGCTAAATAATTTAGTGGCAATCTGGCGGCGCCCGCGGCGATGCCATGGCGGAAGCCGCGTGCTGCGAATCAGACTTTGCAAGCTCCGTGCTCGGCGTCCATCTGTCATAACGCTCCGCTAGTGTTCTAGTGTTCTTTAGACTTAGCGCATATTGTTTAGCGGACGCGATCACAGCCTACTTAGATAATTGATAACTGCTTTGGGTTTGCTTTTTATATTGGGAAGATTTGTGTAAAGGCGAATTTAGTACCGTTATAACAAAAACCAGCTTAATGTGGTACTTTGTTTCTGAGCCGCATCTTATTTCCATATAACTAACTTATTGCCAGGCAGCGTCAAGTTTTCCGCTTGAGTGCATAATTCCATTGTTCTAAGATTGCGGAAAGGCGACAATCGTATTCTCTTATCATAGAACGTCGAACTTCGCTACAGTTGCGACACAATAGAGTGACGCACAAAGCTCTGCTCGCACCCAGTCATTAAAATTTCGTTCTACATCTTTTCCATTACGTGGCAGACAAAAAATAGCAGAATAAAAAAGGACAACCCCGAAAACAAAAGTCGGGAGCGGAGAGAACAGGAAATAAAGTTAATTAAGAGCAGCGAAATCGACTGAGTTGCGGTGGAAATTGGAACCTTAAAAAAGAGACATTTGTAGCCAAGCTATTGCGCTTAATTTTTGTGACAAGTGAAACAAAAGAGTTGGCAGGGTGTTGGGCTTGGGGGTGGCAAGAAGACGCGGGGGCGAGGGGAGATAAGGCCGGCTTTATCACCGCCGGTTCCGGCGGCCACTGGCGAGTCGAAGGCGATACCTTTTTGTTTAGCCACATTGAGGGATGCGCGCTCGCGTGACGTTATCGCGCCTCTTTGCTTCATGCTGACCTTTCCACTCAGGGTAGTAAATTTTATTCTTAGACGTTTTATGGTTGTTGCTTTTTCGGCTTTTTCATTAAAGTAATGATATTCAAGATTGAACTGTTTAGTTGGTCAAACTAGCACATGTTTTCTACTATTTACTGACTGACGGTTTTGATAATATGAAACGAAGAAACTAGGCCATTGAAATACGTTTGCAATTATTTCATTTACCGGAAAGGCACCCTTACTAGCAGTGCGTCCATTAGGCGTCACTAATTGAATCCTCCTGCACTCAGGTCTGGTAACTGCATCGAACTCGTTTTTGGGATTACACTCAGTACATTCTGCTGCAAGGATTGAAATATCCAGTGACAACGTTAACACGGCAATGGCTATTAACTCATTGGAAATTACTTATCTTTATGCTTATTATTTTCCTGAGTACGCGATATTCACAGTGGAAAAGCTATTTATATTTATTTTTAATTAACTGCGCATATCTTCTTCTGAGTAAAAGCCTGAAACTTTTTTATTCATAATACGTTAGCATCAACAATATCTGCAATGTTTTTCAGAGAAAGTATTACCTCTACGACTGTTTACAGATAATCGGTTAAATTATTATTTCCGTTTCTATTCCTCTATCTACGCTGTTGCATATCTTGTCCGTCTTGTACACATATTGAAGAAAAATTCCTTAAACAGATTCTGCGTGGGCGATCGTTTCTACCTGTGCGAGAACAAGATTCTGTGCGAATATGACTACGAGGAGAGACTGGTATTCGCCAACATGGCGTACAACCCGCCGCCGCTTGCGCACATCAAGCGACAGACTTCACACCTACCTCCTGCACCGGTAAGAACTTAATCCCCTTTAATCGATTTCGTATTTACGAAACGAAACGTACATTTATACGTTGTGAATTCGGTGAATTAATGATTATTCTTAAATTATATCCAAAATGGAGAACGTTTTTCGGAGATCTGTGAAATTATGCGCGTCATTAAAACTTGAATAATTATATTGAAATTTGCGTGCAATGAGTCGTTCTTAAAATCTAGAGAAGTCTGTTTTTTATTAAGGGTTGATAGCCGGCTTCATTAACTTTATTTGCTTTTTCTGGCATTGCCCAGCTCCACCAGCGATGCCTGGGCGTTCTTTGAAGCTACGCCCATATTATATTAAAACTTTTACTCCTTGAAAGGTGCATTAAGTAGTATGAGACAAGGTTTACAAAAGGATATCTATTGACAGGCAAACAACGCCATGGCCCTGATGAATGGCTCTAGCCGAGCCGGAGACCTGAATAACAACATGTCCGGCTCCTCGCCCGCCCCATTCGTCCCACCGCCGCACCTCAAGCCCCTAGGACTCTCGGCGTCCAGCTGAGACTATCGGGTATGAGACTCTGCCCACCCCTACGCGAAGTATCAAAACTAAACGCGCGAATTATAATTACAAGTGACACTACAAAGAGTGAGCTGAATAGTACAATGAAAGGTAAAACCTTCTGTGAGTTGTTAAGCGACGGATTTTTGGAGCGAACTCTCCCTTAAGAGTTCCTAGGACAAGAGTAACTGTGAAATGAACTCACGTTTTTCTGAATCAGTGTGTAAAATAGTTGTTTAACGTAAAAGCAAAGTCAATGCCAAAATGTAGTTAGAATTCTCATTGTTCGTTATTGAAAATATTAATGTAGAATGGTTTTCATTCTTCTGTGTATTTGTATGAAAATGGGAAACGTATGTTTAATTGTTAAAAAATCTCATAATTTGATCTCAAACAGGTAATTGCTGAGTTAGGATAGTGTTTGAAATGTTTAGCGTGTGATTGGAACATTGAAGAGCGCGGGTTGTAAAACTGGGGAATTTACTTCACAGTGGCAGAAGTATGTATTTTAATAGAAGTCGATGTTACATGTGAATATGAAATATGAGGTGATTGTTTGGATTATTATTAATAATATTGCATCCTAGTATGATCAAGTCCCAAATAGAAACTAAATAATAATAGCGATCAAATTATTATTAAGATATTATTTTTACTTTCATTTTATATTAGTCTGACTAAATTCCAGATTTTCAAATCTCTTTGTTATTTCGTTTTGTACCACTGTATATTAACTGTTAAGTTTATCGTAGAACATTGTTACGATATTGTATTATTTATGTAAATAAAATATTGTAAGTAGAATTATAGCATCTAATTACATTGATCAATATAAATATTTAAAATTAGTAAAATGTGAAAAAGTGTTAACATCATTATGGAAATAGTTCAAATAAGTTTTCTTAGAAACATGTAGTGTCTGTAATAAGTAAAATGTCGAGCATTTTTAGCGAGATATCGCAATGCTGTACGCTCGAACACATTATATGTGTCTGGTTTCCTTGTAGCCAATGATACGACCAAAGATGTAGCTCATTAAAGCCTTGTTCAATTGTATACTTTGTTTCTTTTATACACCATCGTTTTACTACATTATATATCTGAATCTATGGATCAAAACATCTATCAAAATTTAAGTGATCTCTGTGCTACTACAATATCTTTTCGTTCTCTATATTGCCATAAAGTATTTTCTTCATTCTATTATACGATGCAGTATGAAAAGCTGTAATTTTCTCGAAAAATATACAATAAAACGCTCAATGAAAGAAGGAATGGCGTTATCAGCGGGTAGGTGAGCGGAAATTTGAAAGGTCGGGAGATCGCTGTCTCATATCGGGGACGTAAAAATGTCGACCCAGTCAGTGCATTGTCGCCGAGAGCGGTGCTATGATACCGACAGAGAACATGCCGTTAAGGTAACATCGTCTTCTACTTAAATATAGGACACATTACTAGGGTTGATGATTTTTGCTCACCTACACTTTCGTAAAGTTAGCGCGTTTTCTCACTTCATCTGATTCGTATTCGTGCCAAATCCGAGACTATACAATTATAGAAAACTCGGACCCACCTCGGATGTCGTCTGTGCACTAAGTCCAATTCAAATCCGAGAAAATACGAATATCGCTTGTACACCTACAGATAAAATGATACTTCGGACACCTGTGACATTTCGGACCGTCATTTCTCGGATTCAACGCAAACGCTCTTAATGTATAAAGAATTCGGTAAACAGGAATGAGTTTGGCGACTCAACGTATATTCTTTACGCAAGAACTTCGACGAGAGTTTTTTTATGACACGATGTCACTTGTTCGTCCCAAATGACGGCTAAAACAAGTCCTGCACCTGGTGGTAAGAGAGACGCCTGTTCGTAACAGTTGCAGTACCGCTCAGAGCTTTAAATCGTAAAGATCTGAGGGGCTCTGCCAATGCGCCCGTCACCCTGAGACACAAGTTGACAAGTCACATGCAATTTCACCAGCACGCTTAGCCTTCAAAACCAAAACGCAGTAGTGCTCACATTACTGCTTGGCAGCAGAAATAGGTAAGGTGGCAGTACTTCGCTGGACTAACTCTTTTACTAAACGTAAAACAAAGTTAATAATTTCTATTTAAAATAAGACTAGTAATCACTAGTAATTCAAGAACACACACCTTATCATACTTTATGCTGATACATAGCCGTGTAACTCAACATCTATAATCGATACTGAATATATAAGCAATTGACAAAAGGCGGGGGTGAGTCACGGAGAAAAATCACCCCAATTTCCCGACACCCAACCTTGTGTACCACGCTTTAATAAAATTGTTATCAACGCAATCTTTAATTTTAACAGAGAAAATAAACATGCTTTATGTTAATAACAATGAGTACACCAAGTAAGGTGTAAAGTATGGAATAAATTAAATTGTGTGTGGAATAGGAAAATATTTTATACAGTCAAGAGCAAGACCAAGCTTAAGGCTTTGCGCTTTGGACCGTTGTTATCGTAGCGACGGCACAGAGTTGTATTTAATTCGGCACTTTGACTCAAGTAAATACTTTTATACAATAAACTTACCCATATATCTTGATGTACACAATACAGAAACATCATATTATCATTAACATATGACACACACAGCGCACTGACACTTATTCACACATTCACACTTAGTTAAGCAATTCAGTTCTATAATATTACTTTTATGTTATTTTCTTTTATACTAATTACGTACTAGTTATAGAGGAGCACTACTTAAAACAAGTTCTCGACCTTGTATGCAATTTTTATTTATATTTGAGACGAAATAAAGTATTATTATTATTACACCCTTTTTTCTTATCGTATCAATGTCATGTACTACAATGTTTGCTACTGTGGCGAAAGGACTTGCCATCGTGGTATAAAGTACCCGCCAGTTGTTGCTCAGGGTGCGTCAGACGTGCGGGAAAGGGATGGGACGTCGTGCTGGGAGGCTCCTTTCATGCACCCCAATTACACTAATAATAATTAAATGTTAAGTGCAAACTTGCCAGTACTGCCCTCAGAACGAGAACAGGCAGAACTGCTGTATAAAGTACGCATAGTTGTGTCTTTTTTCGTAACGAGGGCACATTATAGGAAAGGTAAAATGTGGGCATACTATTTACATGGAAGATAAAGAAAAGGAAGCAGAATCAACGATACTTAGGACGTTGTTTATCCTTGCTTGGTAGCAGTAGAACTCCTTGTGAAAGAGTTTGTTATAGCAGTAGAGATCCTTGTGAAAGAGTTCGTCTAGGGAAGCACTGCGACCTTATCTATTTCTGCCGCCAAGCAGTGATGTCAGTATTACTGTGTTCCGGTTTTGAAGGGTAAGTGTGCTGTTGAATTTGCAGGCACATGGGACTTGTCAACTTATGTCTCAGGGTGCTGTGCGCAGTGGCGGTGCTTCTCATATCTTTGAGATTTAAATCTCTGAGTGGCACTGCAACTGTTACTTGAAAAAAAATCCACAACTAAAGAATCCTAGGATCAATAGCATTGACGATTAGCAAACAATACAAACAATTTTGTTCTATTCAGAGTGTACACATAACAGTGACGTGGGCTAACGCTTCTTGAACCGTGAACGACACAATAAGTTGAATGAAAAATGGCACTTTGGCAGGCCGCCGGGACGGCACACAAATCAAAACGGGAAACCGGTAGCGAAAAGTGAAAAAATTACAGTTACGTAACATGGAGCCAGTGGGTTCTGTCGAATTTTCAATGACTCAAAAAATTTGATGTTATAGGTACATAGAACTACAAGGTACCTACCTTGTACTTGCAGTGAATGGCTGTTGCTAATGACTGCGTAAAATGTGACTGCTTTTTGTGAGCTAGGGTGTTGTACAATTTGCTATGTAAAATCGTTAAGTACTTTTTTACACGGTCGTGAGCAACAACTTTCATTCATTAATACTCGTATAATAACCGCTGTGATTATTACAAATAAATGTTTTTTATTAAGTCTTAGTTACTTTATTTCTTATTCAACTGTTAGATTTGAAAATAAAATTAATTCTATATTAGAGTCAATGTGCATAATATTGTGATTAATTTATTAAGTTGAAATTTGATTTGGTTCATACTTACACATAACTTACATATAACTTGCCTGACTTTGCTTTGATTAACTTGCTTGCCTTGCCGGACTGCCACGCAGAGGTCCCAGGTTCGATTCCCGGGCCGGGAGAAATAGCTGTATGGCCTGCAATTGTTTCTCTCGTGAGTTTGGGTGTAATTTGTGGTAGTCTATGTGTGTGTCCATGGCGCCCGCGACACAGGGTTTCCCTGGTGCGGGGCTATGTTGAGTGTGTGCGTTATTTATTATTTATTATTATAACTTGAAATTTTTTTAGTGGTAATTTTTAAATTTATTGAATGTCACGATGTTTGACAACTATGATATTCAAATATTTTTCTGAAATTACTCTACTAGTTTGTAATAATTATTAATACAAACACTACCAGGTTAAGTGATAAAAAGTTTTCACAGATTTCTCAGAGAGAGTCGTTAAAAACAAAGATCTGCAATAAGCACATAGAATAACTTGTAAGGTCCGCTAATGCGTTCCGTGGCTTAATTGGCATAGCGTCTGGTACGGTTTGCTGGAAGACGTTGTTCACATCCAACCGGATCGAAGGAATTTTTTCTTAGTATTTGATGATTGTATTAATAATTGTTTTTTAGTGTTCCTCTAAATATATCCATGAATAAATAATATGTGTTCTTAATGGTGTATGTACAACCCTTTGATTTTCAGACTTTAGGAATTTATGGAAATGCCAAAGGTACCCTAAAAAAAGAAAACAGCGTAGGAAGCCCGGAGCACACCACTGATGGCTTCTTGCAATAATTTCCGTTTTCAATGAACGCGTTTTTCTTTTTCTTATCACCGCACGAACTAGGATGGTTGGGAATAAATTGAAATACAAAATTGATTGTTGACTTTTCCCGGCCGTTTTATTACTGTCACAAATAGGAAAAAGATTAAAAATTGCCTACAGACGGTTGAGGCGCAAGCAGGGCCGAAGGCTTCCTTGATACGATTGTTATTGTGTATGATTCATTTCCTTTTCCGTGATTAGTACAAACGATAAAATGTTGAAATAATATTGTCG